TTATTATTATTATTATTATTATTATTATTATTATTATTATTATTATTATTATTATTATTATTATTATTATTATTATTATTATTATTATTATTATTATTATTATTATTATTATTATTATTATTATTATTATTATTATTATTATTATTATTATTATTATTATTATTATTATTATTATTATTATTATTATTATTATTATTATTATTATTATTATTATTATTATTATTATTATTATTATTATTATTATTATTATTATTATTATTATTATTATTATTATTATTATTATTATTATTATTATTATTATTATTATTATTATTATTATTATTATTATTATTATTATTATTATTATTATTATTATTATTATTATTATTATTATTATTATTATTATTATTATTATTATTATTATTATTATTATTATTATTATTATTATTATTATTATTATTATTATTATTATTATTATTATTATTATTATTATTATTATTATTATTATTATTATTATTATTATTATTATTATTATTATTATTATTATTATTATTATTATTATTATTATTATTATTATTATTATTATTATTATTATTATTATTATTATTATTATTATTATTATTATTATTATTATTATTATTATTATTATTATTATTATTATTATTATTATTATTATTATTATTATTATTATTATTATTATTATTATTATTATTATTATTATTATTATTATTATTATTATTATTATTATTATTATTATTATTATTATTATTATTATTATTATTATTATTATTATTATTATTATTATTATTATTATTATTATTATTATTATTATTATTATTATTATTATTATTATTATTATTATTATTATTATTATTATTATTATTATTATTATTATTATTATTATTATTATTATTATTATTATTATTATTATTATTATTATTATTATTATTATTATTATTATTATTATTATTATTATTATTATTATTATTATTATTATTATTATTATTATTATTATTATTATTATTATTATTATTATTATTATTATTATTATTATTATTATTATTATTATTATTATTATTATTATTATTATTATTATTATTATTATTATTATTATTATTATTATTATTATTATTATTATTATTATTATTATTATTATTATTATTATTATTATTATTATTATTATTATTATTATTATTATTATTATTATTATTATTATTATTATTATTATTATTATTATTATTATTATTATTATTATTATTATTATTATTATTATTATTATTATTATTATTATTATTATTATTATTATTATTATTATTATTATTATTATTATTATTATTATTATTATTATTATTATTATTATTATTATTATTATTATTATTATTATTATTATTATTATTATTATTATTATTATTATTATTATTATTATTATTATTATTATTATTATTATTATTATTATTATTATTATTATTATTATTATTATTATTATTATTATTATTATTATTATTATTATTATTATTATTATTATTATTATTATTATTATTATTATTATTATTATTATTATTATTATTATTATTATTATTATTATTATTATTATTATTTATTTATTTACTTCCCGTTCCATGTATTTACATTTTAGAGACACTTTTAATTATCCATCGTAATCTAGATGAACATACCAGTCATGGAAATATTCACTCTTATGGAACGAGAAATGCTAATAATCTAGTTCAAAGTTTCTCTCGTACCCAAATGTCCAAAAAAAATAAACTAGACGTTAATTTATATAATAAGTTTACAAACCAACACAAATATATAAATGTATCTATCATGACTACGCAAAAATTTAAGAGATTTGTTGAAGATTTTCTTTTAAAACATTGTTTTTATTCAGTAGAAGAATATATGTATTTTGTCTAAAATAAATTTTCACTATTTTTGTTTTAACTGTTATGCTGTATTACTGTACTTTTTGTATTTTTTGTATTTTTTGTATTTTTTGTATTTTTTGTATTTTTTGTATTTTTTGTATTTTTCGTATATTTTGTATTTTCTGTATTGTAGACCATCTAGCTATTGCTAGTTTAAATTCATATTTTTAATATTTTATTTTTTTTAACACTGTATTCACCTCAAATATACAACTGTATGTAATGTGGTAAATAAATAAATATTATTATTATTATTATTATTATTATTATTATTATTATTATTATTATTATTATTATTATTATTATTATTATTATTATTATTATTATTATTATTATTATTATTATTATTATTATTTATTATTATTATTATTATTATTATTATTATTATTATTATTATTATTATTATTATTATTATTATTATTATTATTATTATTATTATTATTATTATTATTATTATTATTATTATTATTATTATTATTGTTATTATTATTATTATTATTATTATTATTATTATTATTATTATTATTATTATTATTATTATTATTATTATTATTATTATTATTATTATTATTATTATTATTATTATTATTATTATTATTATTATTATTATTATTATTATTATTATTATTATTATTATTATTATTATTATTATTATTATTATTATTATTATTATTATTATTATTATTATTATTATTATTATTATTATTATTATTATTATTATTATTATTATTATTATTATTATTATTATTATTATTATTATTATTATTATTATTATTATTATTATTATTATTATTATTATTATTATTATTATTATTATTATTATTATTATTATTATTATTATTATTATTATTATTATTATTATTATTATTATTATTATTATTATTATTATTATTATTATTATTATTATTATTATTATTAATTATTATTATTATTATTATTATTATTATTATTATTATTATTATTATTATTATTATTATTATTATTATTATTATTATTATTATTATTATTATTATTATTATTATTATTATTATTGTTATTATTATTATTATTATTATTATTATTATTATTATTATTATTATTATTATTATTATTATTATTATTATTATTATTATTATTATTATTATTATTATTATTATTATTATTATTATTATTATTATTATTATTATTATTATTATTATTATTATTATTATTATTATTATTATTATTATTATTATTATTATTATTATTATTATTATTATTATTATTATTATTATTATTATTATTATTATTATTATTATTATTATTATTATTATTATTATTATTATTATTATTATTATTATTATTATTATTATTATTATTATTATTATTATTATTATTATTATTATTATTATTATTATTATTATTATTATTATTATTATTATTATTATTATTATTATTATTATTATTATTATTATTATTATTATTAATATTATTATTATTATTATTATTATTATTATTATTATTATTATTATTATTATTATTATTATTATTATTATTATTATTATTATTATTATTATTATTATTATTATTATTATTATTATTATTATTATTATTATTATTATTATTATTATTATTATTATTATTATTATTATTATTATTATTATTATTATTATTATTATTATTATTATTATTATTATTATTATTATTATTATTATTATTATTATTATTATTATTATTATTATTATTATTATTATTATTATTATTATTATTATTATTATTATTATTATTATTATTATTATTATTATTATTATTATTATTATTATTATTATTATTATTATTATTATTATTATTATTATTATTATTATTATTATTATTATTATTATTATTATTATTATTATTATTATTATTATTATTATTATTATTATTATTATTATTATTATTATTATTATTATTATTATTATTATTATTATTATTATTTTTATTATTATTATTGAAGCTTGATGTTACAATAGAAGTTGAAATAAAGAAAATAAAATAAAAAGGTACAGAGAAATTTTAATTAGAAATAATATTTAAAGAAATAAGCAAAGACATGTAGAAGCAGGAGAGGCAGAGACAGGACAGATACATACAGAAGAGGCAGGTAGACACGAACAACACACACAGATAGAGATTAGCAGATAGGTACAGACTAGCAGAGAGATAGAATCGAGCAGATAGGCAGAGACAAGCGGACAGGTAGAGGCAATAGAGACAAGTGGAGACAAGGAGCTAACAGGAAGAGAAGACTGAAGAATTTAAAAATTTATTTTTTGTTTAGAATTAATTTTGGTAAATAATATATTTTGAAAAATTTTTAGAGCCGAACCACCCCTTTTGAGAGTCTGGGCAAATTTAAAAAATTGATGTACTGGGGATTTCTATATCAATATATTCTGCTACTTTATAAGATTCTAAAATATCCTAATTTGGTGGTGGGCGTGATGTTGTGGCCCAACGAATGTTTTGTCCAGAGGCCTTAACGGATGGTTAATATTATAGATGTTTTTCCCCTATTTAAACGGTTATTTTAACGAGTAAGTGTAACTTAATTTTACTTAAATTGTATTTACAGTGGCAATAAATTTTTTAGAGTCCTGATGATGTGTTAATCGGCGAAAGCACTTGACTAATTTTAAATAAAGTGAAATTATTTAAAACAATTTTTCCTATACACATTTTATATATAAAATCTTTCATTTTCTCCATAAAATATACAATGTGATCAATTTAAAAATTCAAACGTATATACGCATTTCTGGTAAAGCCGGAAGTCGGCTATTTTAATTAAGTGCCAATTCTTAGTTATAACTAGTTCCAAATTTGATCCAAATCCCTAAATAAAAGAAATAATAATTTATCCCTGGAATCAATGTCACCTGGTATACTCAAATAGTGTCATTAAAAAATTGTTGAAATATGTTTGAAAAAGAGAATTCACAGAAGTGGTTCCATCTCAAACCTGTGTTACGGGTCTTTTTTGTAATAGTTTTAAGTAGTCTAAATTTATATCATTATTTACATTGATGAATATGTATTGACGGTTATATTTTTAAAATAACGAAAATTACGTGTAATGGAATAAAAAAAAACTACCTATATCGCCAAGCGCAGGTCCCCTCAAAAACGAATTATATATAAAAATAGGTGTTTTCACCATCATCAAAAAATCACTTACAGCCAAGTTCACAATAAGCTTATTAGCAGAGGTCCTTAAAGACTTGCACCTAAAAATAATCTACGATAATTATTTTAAATAACTTTAATTAAGTTTTTCACTTACTTGACGAACAGGAAAATGACTAAAAAATTTCCGGAAAAGCCAAATATCATAATTATGATATACAGTACCGCTATGAAGTAAAAACTTGAGTTGTATGGTGGGGGATACTTCAACCAATGTAAATTTATCTCAGTCACGTAATCGTCGGCGAAAAATCCAAACTTTTTCCAATCGTCCATGGCCCACAACGTTTTAAATTTCTCGATAATTTCAGTAAGATTATCTGCGTTAGTGGAATTTCTGCAGTTCGCGAGTGAGAATTGAGAAACCGTTATGAAAAAATAGGAAAATAGAGGCATTTTCGGAAACATTACTACTAGAAAATATCGAACTGAATGGCGTATTACGATATGTTAACTAAATTGTTTTTAGGAAAATGAAAGGTTTTATTACTTAGATGGCTCCTTATGTAATAGTCACATGGGAGAAGTTTTCGATTAGAGATTCATGCGTTGAGTTTTTGCATGAACAGGGAGCTAGCCTGGATAAAAGGGGACGTAGAAAATTAAAAAATATAGATTTTCTTGTAGATTCAGCTCGGATAAAAAAGATATATACCATTACTTCACACTTCTCGCATCGTAATTACCGTTTTAAACCATCTATTTTTCTAACTAGAGGCATATGCATTTAGTAAAAGTTTGAAGGATTAAATCAATTTAAGTTTGATACTTGTTTACGATTATAGGTTAAATAAACAATTACTATAATATGTAAATAAAATGTCATTAACGTTATGTAATGGTATCTTCTCTATCCGAGCTAACTCTAATTACAAATTGCCTAGTAGAATTGGAAATGGCCAAAACGTGCTCATTCTTTGGATGAATGTGTTAATTTCATTTTTACAATCACCATATGAATCACCCTGCATATTTTGAGATATTCAAAGAGTTTCTTCTTCTACCTTTCTAAAAATAAAGCATGTCTAATGATTTTTTGTTTTCATATACAAATTGGAGCGATTTAAATTAAATGCTACAACTCTTTCGGCCCTAGTAGTGACACATGCCACCATCAAATTCGAGGCCTAGTTATCTGTAAACTGTTTAGTTTAATTAGAATTTTATGCACTATGTGGTAACACCACAGCCCTCAGAAGGTCTAGATACCGCATCGTAAAAACATTTTGACCCCCCATATGATGGGCGCCATGATAAATAAATGTCAATAAATTTTAAGTTGGTACTTCTGACAAGACAGAATCGGCACAAGTTTAGTAATTAGGCATTCCAACGACCTGTCAAACAATAGGTGCCAGTGGGAAATTCTTGTATATTTAAGGGGGTAGCGACATAGTCTTGCAACTTGGACGCTATTTTTATTCGAAGTAGTACTCGCCAAGCCTGCCAATTTATGAAGAAATGTATAGGTGGGTTTTTTAAATATTATTTTTATTGTGTTTGACATAAAATATTTAAATGTGATCCATTATTCATAATTTTACGTAAAGTAGATAGAATACACCATATGTCGCCACCCTTAGATATACCAAACCTGCCCACTGGTAATTCATTTGTTTGGAATGCCCAATAAGCGTAAGATCGGCGTTCGACGTATATAATCGATTTTATTATCTGTTGTGTTGTTTATTTTGTTCTTCTAGTAAAGGTTTTATTTAAAACATTATTTTTTAGTTTAGTCGTTTTGTTCGAGAATGGATTTATTTTCTTTATTAATTTCTTAATTTAAATTCGCGTTATCTATTTTGACACTTTGCCCCACCTAAACGGTTCATGCTTTGGACCTTTTAAAAGAATCAAGAGACATCGATGTATCGCCAACAAAGTAACAAGTTCGTTCGCCGTCGCTTAATATTTGTGCCCTTGCTTCATGTGTGCCGCTCGCCGATCAGTCCAATATTCCAAAAGGTAAGGTGTCAAATACGTTATTAATTCATTTAGTTTGATTATTTGAATCAGCCCTTTTTGGCAGCATAACATCCGTTCTGTTTCACGTTTAGTATTTTATTTTAATAAAAAACATTTGTGGTTTGGTGTTAAATTTTTACAGGATTTTCAAAATCTCTTGTTGTTTTGTACGTGAATTGCATCCAACAGTAGAAGATACAAGGCAGGAATAACATTTCACATGTAAGTTTTCAAAAATATTTGTATATTTTCAAAATCAAATAATTTGTGTTTTGTTGTAGCATACCAAAAAATTTTAGGAAAGAATAACTGATAGCCATAGGAAGACCATTGAATCATTTTGTGACTTTAGTATAAGCCCAGAAAATTTGGGGATACTAGCTGAAACGGCAAATGTGTTATTGGCTCCTTGTTAATGACCTATTGTACAATTTTTCCAACACACGTTCCATGATCCTTTGAACTTGCCTGCACCGTACTGATGAAGACCAATAGTCAGAAAAACGTGTCGATCGTTACTTCTTTTTTACTTTTTTTTCATTCGGAAAATGTCCACTATTACTACCTTGATACAATAATATTAGTTCCGTTCTAAGTAGGTACATATTATAGTTTGTATGTTTTATGCTTTATTTTATTACATGTAATAAATGATAGGAAATATACTTTTATAGTAAATAAATTGATTAAAGCAATATGTAAGAATAAGTTTATCTAAGGATTAAATTGTTAAAATTTTTCATATCCATTGTTTATTAATTTGTTTCATTTAATTCTTTCTTATTGAGTAAGTTATTTCATATAAATATGCGATACTTGTAAAATGTAATATTTTCTTTTAAATAGGTATATATTATGTTTGTATAAAATATTGTTCAGTTAATAAAAACAGAAATATTTTGTCTTTTATTCAAAAGAAGATTGTAAATTTTTCAAAATATATTTACCTACCCCAAAAAAAGATTAATAAAACCAGTTAGTCATATACACATTTTCTATATATTTATAGAGGTACTTTTTAAATAACTTTCAATACATTCGAAATCTGTGGTTTTATTAAACTCAATGTAACAAATTAATAATAATAGGTATTCTCAAAAATATTTAAAAATAAAATCGAGATGGGACTCTTGTATAATTTAGTGACTATTCGCCTATGGTTAGTGCACTGCTGTATGTCCCTGGGTTTTCTACATTAGAACAATACTGCTTCTCCACTCTAGCAGTATTTTTTGCATCTCACAAGATTATATTTATTAAAAAACCAAGGAATTGTTTTGGGCCTATTGCTGTGCCCTTTTCCAACATTCCCAAAGTTTTTTTTTACTTTCTGCTGATTGGATCTCCGATAGCGACAACTCCATTTGTTGTTCCACTAGTTTTTTATCAAATTTTTAAAATAACTTCTATATATTTATCTTTTGCAACGACTTTGCTTACCTGCTTCATAATCTCTTCCCTATGCCCCAATTTCTCTAACAGGTGAGATCTTATACTCGCTCTATTAAATCAAATTATCATTATAGTTTATTTGAAAATGTTTGGTAGCACAGTTTTTATGGCAAAGGTCCATATTTTTATATAATTTTGCTATTATTCATTTTCAAATAAACTATAGGAATAGGAGTAATCTATCAGTTTTTCTAAAAATACCTTGTTACCGATGTAAGTATATCTTTCCCTAGTTAAAAAATTCGAGTTTTTATTTTCATAATATAAATAAATGACCGGTTAACAATCACATTCTTTTAAATAGTACATTTGACATTGAAGTAAGTATTTTCTCCATATTGCCAAACAGGAACAGATGGTTTACTTGTAATTTGAATTATATTACATAAATCTCACTGAATTTCTCTATAATTATCATAGCAATATGTACACAAAACACTTATCCAATAATATATATAACCATGTAAAAATAACATTTCAAGAACGAGAAAATTTATAAAACCGGTCCTGTCTGAACAGATCTAGGAAAATCAAATAGGTTTGTCAAAGTTTTGTTCTTAATTTGAAATTAGAAATTGTGCGTCTCACTCACTTATAACTAATAACAAAGTGCAGATTATCGGTGTTCACGTATTACAGAACACACAAACTAAAAATCAGTGTAGCCAAAACATAAATTTACCTAACATGGCGACAAGCTTGAATGGGGTCATTTTTTTGTATTGACAGCATACGCCAAGCGGTATCTAGACTTTCTGAGGGCTATGGGTAACACCAATATATGCAGTTTTTGTTTCTGTGTCCAGAAGTTTTATCTAGTAGGTATAGTCTACGAGTGACGCTTGTGCTGGTAAGTGTTACAAAATCAGTAAATATTTTTGGAATTATTGCTTTGTTTATAGATATAATTTAGCAGATAGTATCATAAAGTTGCCAAAGATTCTAAGTTAACAGTATAAGTTACAGTATTATTATTGGTATTGATTTATTGAACCCCTAAAAACCGTGAACGCAAATGCCACCACCAGGCTTCAAAGGTAGTAGAAGAATTGTATAGGGATATATGTAGCTGGTACAATACGTGCTAATTGACTTGAAAAATGTCCTATAAAAACCGAAAAACAAATTAAAGTAAAGGGTCGAGCTTCCTGTGATTACGTAGCGTCCGGCAATATAGTGATTATGAGGAGGACTGATAATAAACCAGTGATGGCCTTCCAATTTTCTCGCTGTTGAACCAAAAGATGAAGCAAAAAAACTACGTAAAGATAGAACATCCGGCAATAGTTAGAATGTACATCGTATCTATATCTATAGATAAGTGTGACTTTTTGCTTTCTTTATACAGAACTTTTATTAGATCGAAAATGTGGACACTCAGAGTAATATTTCATTATTATAATCTTGCTGTTTGCAACTTATGGCTTCAATATAAAAGAGAGGCCAATGCAACAGACTTGCCGAACGAAAAGGCAAAAGATTGTTAGAATGTACGCTAGAAGTTGCTGAAGCACTTGCTTTTGCAGGAGTTAACACTATCCAAACCCCAAAAAGAGGTAGACCTTCAAGAGAAAATTCTATGTTGCTTCATAAGAGTCATGTCGCAAAAGAACGAAAAATAATAATAATACTCTAACTTCAAAAATTATACAGTTAGCAAGTATCAACTTTATTCATCCATTAGACCTGGCCTGGCAAGGTAAAATGGATTTATTTATAAATCTTTTTATATTAAATTTACTAACGTGATAACACGCTTTTTTCTCTTTCTCTTTATAGGTCGTTAAAGACTGTTGTAAATGACTTAAGGGCCCTACTATATTTAACAAGGGTACCAAGGGGATTGCTACAATATATGTAAATTAGACTTTGATGACAAATGGACTCCTTTGCCACAAAGAGTTAAAAGAGCTGAAGGAAACTCATGCTGGCCACTAATGCATAAAGAATAGAGGAGTATTCCAAAAAAAAGGAAACATTTACAAGAACCGAAACAAGTCACTCCAGAAGAGTATCACAACTTTTATGACAATCTGAAATTTCGTTAATAATTGTAGCTCGTTAAAACAATTTTCGTGTTTTTAAATAAAATTTTTATTGAAAATTAATTGTCAATTATTTCCCAGAATTACAAAGAAATATGTGACAAGCCAGAAAACAATAACTCGTAAACTATAGTTCTGTAACATTATAAAACTCAATACCTCGTATCCCACCTATTATTAAGGTATTATATTAAATCACGGAATAACCTTAATAGATTTAGTTAGTTATTTATATTAACCTAATCACCTCTTAATTTAGTTTAACCTCATATTAAAAGTTACCACAAAAAAATTTCAATATTCTACGAAATAGGGAAAGTGGTGCTCAACTGATTTTTGCTAAAAACTAACGTATGGATATTTTTTGTTCCAGGTGCTTCTGAATATTAATGGCTGTGAATGAGTGATTAATAAATAAATACATTTACATCCTAATAAAGAAATACAGTGACTACATAAATACAAGGGACGTTTTTCTAAATTTTTAAAGAGATCGAAATGGCCACACCATCGATATGTCGCGCAAATAGTGTTTATTTG